AGGTTGTGCCAGGGACCGATTCGTTCTGTCAATGTAAGTAAGTGTCACCGCAACTGCAGGTGAACTGGCAGACGATACGTGAAGTAGAATTGTTCTGCTGTTTCGGTTTTCGATTGTCTAAACGAAGTCTATCAATCGAAGCTGTGCGGGTCTGAGGAAGACGCTCTTCTTTGTTACTTCGCAGGCGAGATCAACCGATGTCTTTCGTTTGCTATGGACATCAATAAATTTCTCTGGATAGCCGTTATCCAGTAGCGTTCGTCGCAGAAAGGCCTCTTCTTCTTGGACAGTGTCAGGGGAGCATATATTCCTGGCGCGATGAAACAGAGTCTTCACCAGACCTCTTTTGTGAGCCATAGGAGCGAAACTGGCAAATTGTAAATATTGCCCACTCCATGTAGTCTTCCGGTAGACGGATATTTGAAAGGTTCCATCTGATCGCCTCCCGATTTTTATATCTAAAAATACAAACAACCGTCCTTTTCCTCCTCAACGGAAACAAAGAGATTGGGATGAATAGTATTAAAAAGTGTTAAAATGGTAAAATGCTCAGAGTCGGTAAAAATCAAAATATCCTCAACATAACGTTTGTACAAAACAGCCATTGAAATATTATCATTCAATTGTCTTTCAACCATTACTAAAAATGCATCGGCTAATGTTGGGCCTAAGGGACTGCCCATTGATACGCCGTCAATTTGTCTGTGCGCTGTACCTTCAAATTCAAAACGTCTGTTCTCAGTGCAAACAATGATAAGATCTTTTAAATAATCAAGGGGAATAGGAAGATGAATATTCATTGAAGAGATGAAATCACATAAAAGTCTATTGTTTCATGGAGAGGAACATTTGTAAAAAGTGAATCCACATCAATAAGAAAACATCTTATGAGAAGATAAATTAAAATTGTCCAATATATTAGCAAGTTCAAAAGAGTCTTTACTACAATGTGTCAGAGCTTTGCGAATAGGATCCAAAATGTCGACCAACCATCAAGAAACTTTGTGATATGATGTAACCGTGTAATAACAGAATCTGAAGCTTTCGGGTAATCATTTTCTCCGTGAGAATGTTGTTATCAGACGTGTTGTCCACTTTGAATTTCCTCTCATCCGACAATACTTGGTTCATTTTTTCTTTATAGCATTCTTTGGTCATAATAACCAACCCAGAGCCTTTGTCGGGTTTGAGAAATTTTAATTCGGACGTCATCCGCGATTTTTGTATGGCTTTATAGTGTTCTGCTTTGAGACAAATTTGTTGTCTTATAGGTGCAGAAAGGAAAGTATGCGAAATGTCCACCCTTTTAGCACGAAGCCAACCAGCATTATCAGCCGAGGTTGCCGAAAGATCTTTAAATTGGTCAAATGTCAATGCGGATATTGCCCCATTCGATTGCAATATAAGGGTGAATGCGGAATCGAGCGTCCACCATCATCTACGGTTTTGACCATAATGACGTCACCAAACTAGGGCATAATTGACGACTCTGGCTAGATCATTCGAATGTGACTTAGTGCTTAGTTCGCTGATAAAACCGTATTCAAGAGAAACCGCGTAACGAAAAACGAGCAAAACATCTGATAATGGGTTTACTCCGTATATTGCCTTCTTTTCCATATCCTGAGCTCCCATTGTTCTCTGTACAATATTTTTACGCTTTTATGGTGAAAATGTATACCACGGTGTCTGTAGAAATCCACTCGTTCGTTTTTGTTGTTGGTGTTGTATTTTCAAACCGTTCGATCTATTCTTTGTGACCGGCCCTGGTCGATACCAGTACCACCATTTTTAGTCATGATCTTATTGACTGATCAAGCTCAAAAAGTGATTCACGAGGAAGAACAGTAAGGGGTTCGTTATACCCCGGTACAATGACCGTTGGCGAGTGACCTGTCCAATGTCATCAGTCCTCTTGAAAGGACCACTACGATTTTAGTCCAACCGTTTGAACGGCGAAGTCAGTACGACCGATCGATTGAAGACATAACGTTCTACCCAACACACTGGTTTACCAATCAGGTCAATTGCGAATACCGTTCACTTGTTAGCACAACTACGCTGGTTTAACATAGCCCGCGGATCAACTAAAGCCTTGCTCCCATCAGCAAGACTAATCTTACTACCGCAATGTAGCTGTGGCTTCGTGACCACTGTAACAAAACTCACCACAAAAGCTAGATAAAATATTCGAGTGTCTCCAAAGCAATGCAGAAGGAACCTGTATGAAGTACAAATATTTATTTACCTCAATAAATCTTTGTTTTTCTTAGCTTGGCTTGCCGTTGGAAATCAGCCGACGCGCTCTTTAGATCAATTGCACGCCTCTGTAATCCACCCAAAATCAGACCATTAGCTGGACAATCAGCTTAAATTGATCCAGTAACTTCCTTACTTCTCTGATGTACATTCATCTTCTTTGTTACACTTCGATTTATTGGAGATGAGTTTAACTAAATCTCAAATAGGTTTGATAAAACATTATGAAATGACCCATTTCTTTATCGTCAAATACTAAATAGGCGATTCCTTTCTCAAAAAAACGATCGTAAAATCTTCGATCAGGTAGCACTTATCCACAGGTGATTCAATGTAGGTTAAAACCCAGCTTTTAGAAAATCAATAATCGGTACATACATGTGAATGCACAGACATCCACGTTTTTTGACCTGTTGTATAGTCATGAGAATGTCTATTTAGGCTTGTTTGTTGGATTAATCCTCTTTTATCAATGAAAAAAATGTGTTCCAATAAATATTTCCGGAACGAACATTTGAAAAGCCAAATCGCACCCTGGTCCATTGGTTGTAGCACTGAAGAACAACTTGGAGGCAGCCATTTATGACGTTAGGGGGCGTTTTCTATAAATGGTAAAACAGCAATCTTTAGAAGCCAACTTGCGGTTGATATCAGATAGCGAACTTTGGAATAATACATCAGCGATAGATTACTTCAGGTATGCTCCCACAAAGCATTAGTGATTCTTTCCTTGGATTTCTTGGCCCCATAAACCGCTTGTCCTCCAAAACTGTCTCTTCTTTCTGAGAGCTGCCTGTAACTTGAAACTATTCCGTCAGCATTAGAAATGTTTCAACTGGCGTATTCATGGATCAACCGCCCTAACCCCACTCGAAATTCGGTCACCGCGTTATGTGTTACCCTCAAACTTTGCTTGTTTTATGCTTCGTGGGATTGAGTAAGACATCTGTCTGATCAAGATTGAAACCAACCTTTGAAAGCCTTGATATATTTTTTCAATCCCCTTCTTATAAGCGATGCTCTCGACCATGGGAAACTCACCGTGCTTTTCCATCATAGAGGTCACCTCATTAACCGTCTTGAACTTATCTTTCATTTTCAGATGACAACTTTCCTGAGTTCATCTGGCGTTTAATTCGGTATTTTTAGCGCATGCTACTTGTCTCTGATAGGCAGGCTCTTGCAGGTGGATGCATGGAATTGCACAGTTTTAGACTGCTGAAAACTATGTGCATTTCTTTGCCTTTCCAATCAGCGAACAGTGTCATGTATAAGTCGCACTGGGTGAAACGTCATTGATTGAATGCGACATTGTATGTTGGTTGGCCCATGATTAGCTAGTACATTGGTCAACCACCAAATGAGAAGTATCGGGAAGTGCGACTTACCAAGGGAACCACATTGCATAGTTAGGACCTACCGTATTACGGATGCAGTTGGTTTGGGTTTGCCGAAAAGGGGAAGCATATTGGAAAATGCGACTTCTCATGGATGCGACGTAGCAACATTGACGGGTACACTCATCATACACTTTATGTGAGGGAAAAGGGGAGATAAATGTTATCATATGTTCTCATATTCCCCAAGGTTTGAAAGATCAGAACATAGCCCGTGCAATCGTTGTCTCGGTGAATAGTTAGTTAGTGCCGCTCTGATGTCGATGATGGTTTAGTTGTCCTCTAGACATGTAGCCGTAGATCAGCAGTTGAAGGAAGGCGACGATTTGATTTCCTCAAAAGCTGCTTGTACGAAACCCAGCCTCCTGTCACTGATGTACCCTTCTAGATTAGGAGCGATACTGCCTAATACATTGAGTTATCTTATCACGGATCAACATTACGTAATTTGTAAACCAATAAGCATACTTACACAACAGATAGGAAGTGTGCTGCGCACAATATTCTGTTAGAAATATTGGCGACGATCTGTTGCTCAAACGGAGGTTAATTAGGGCAGAAACGATATGCATCACGATAATAAGATTGAATGTTTTGAACGAGTCAAAGTAATTTGGGCAGAACAGTTTATGAGTACGTCGGTCTAACCTATTTAGATGTAGTCCCATATTTCGCAAAAATGAAAAAAATACTTCCAAATTTCTTAGCATTTTGCCGAATCTTTCAAGCTGATTCACTCTATCTGAAAAGATGAGTCATTGATTTGGCTTCTCATTCAAACTCGCTTGACATGAGTCGTCCGATTATTCCGGTCACGTGATATCCTGTCACATCCGAAGATTGTGTGCTATGTCTACATTCTCACATTCCGTGATTCACAAACAGCCGAAGGCTTTACAAAAGCTCGCGTTTGGGGATGGACCACTATCCGGGTTCCCCCACCCGGAACCGTGGCGAGATAGTGTGAAAAATTATTTGACCCTTCATGCTTCTTCTTGCATGATTGTTCCGTGTGATTACTGTCTAAAACTGGAAACCAATAATGCTGCGGATGCAAACTCTACATCAGACAGCGATAGTCCCAGTACCACAGACCAGTCCAGTGAAGATGGTAAAGTTACCACTGATCCGGACGAGCTTCGATGCTGTTTACTCTGTTCCTGTTTCGAACCGTGTACCTGTTGTGTGATACCGAAACATTGCGACAGACTGTACTATACAATCCAGCGAAGCACAGAACACTGTCCTAGCGGATGTCCCACCATTGTACCTCGTCCGGCCGAAGAGGAATGGAAAATGCCCGGCGGGAATGCACGAGAGTTCGCCTGTTCCCCATGCTGTCACAGCCCGGGTGGTATTATGTGTTTAAAATATTGGGATTGTTTATGCTGTCCGATATGTCCAATGTGGGATCTGTGCAAAGGATTAGATCATGGTTATCGGCGATATCGAGTCCAATTGGTTTTACATCGGTACCGAGATTCACGCAAGAAAAAATACATTTCTTTAATATGAATGGATTTATGGAGCAAAAAGGTCAAACTGNNAACCGATTCAACTACAGCCCGAATCCAGGCATTCAACCTAGTTCTACATACTAACTAGTCGACAAGAAAACAGACCCAGGGATGCTGAGGCGCATGCATATTAGTAAATTGATGTTCACGTGCGTTCTTTCACTAGGTTAATACGAACTGGTTTAGGGACTTTGATACGAGGAGGCTGCGACCGATCGGGAGTTACTCGAGAACATGGGTAAAAGGACAAGTTGACTTACACTAGCAATTTTCAAAGCTCTAACTAAACGTCTATTCAAACGCAATCGTAGTCGCTTGGATATATCATGCGAACAGTTGAGAAACTGATTGACAGTGATATCCACTAATGCCATACTGGTGGACATTTCTTTCTGTGTTTCTCATCCAACGGGAGACAATTATTAATCCCGTTTCATTACATATACATGCACATATATTCAATGCTCTAATGTGGCTTAGAACAAAAAATGTATATGTTTGAATTGTTGCGTCGAGCTAGTATCCGTATTTTCAGGTTGCACAAGTCTTCGGTTTCTGGTTTTGTATCAATCAGTTTACCCCGTTTATTTTCGACCCTTTTCTTGATAATATCCAAAGAAAATTGTTCTTCAATTACCAGTATTTTATGTGTCCTCGTATTGTTCAGCGTTCTCTTTTACCAACACGGCATATCATCTGAAGGTATCACTCTCGTCGCACTTTGAAAAGGTCATCGGGAATTTCCAGAATTGACCTTGGTCTCCTCTGTCCGTTGGCCCCTATTGAACTTGTATATCTTTCTCATTTAACCTCAAGGAACCATTCACATTTATTTCTATCTTATATGTAAACATGCATGACTGTAACTGCCTGAAGACGGAGTTATCAAAACAAGCTTGTTCGATATATTGTTTATCTTATAATATTTTATGATACGTGACATGGAGTACAATATCACGGTGATACAATTATATTTCGATTAGTGAAAATATGGAATCTTGTCAGGAATAAATACCATTTCTGTCATGAATGTCGAGGAGGTTCTGTATATCTGTTTTGGCGAGCATTTTTTATGCGATAACTTACTACTCATTATCGAGGTCTCTGTAGTGTAGTTGCAGCCCCGAGTATTTGCCGTCCGTGCCTGAGGCCAGTAGAATGCTTCAAATGGGGTACAATGTTGAACACGAGGATTATTCCACAGTTTAAAAGAAATGTTCCCACTGCTTTGGCAATACCAAACGATCAATCTGACCCCCTTAATCCAAAACAGTTTGTGAATTCCTTGCTGCGGAATAAGAATGAACCACTTTCCAGTATTGAAACTCCCAATAAGTGGTGCGTAAAATCACGGATCCAAAGCAGTGAAACTTAACACTGTCTTGTGATAAGGTGTAATTATTATCAATCAGTTAGTGGCATGATAGATGTTATAAAAATCGTGATTCATGAGATATTTCGGTTAGGATAGTTGTCTTCGCACTCCCAGGTATGATTGCACAAATTAAAAATATGATAGCACACGGTTGTCAAAATTCACCTTGCAATCACGGTGCTTTGAAAGGGGACAGCCCACTGTTGTACCAAACAGAGAAGTGAACAGAGTCAAGCAAGATTAATCCAATCGGGCAGTGACATGGAGCTTCCAATGATGAGCCAAACACAAGAAGAAGCTTGGCGCACACAATTTGACGTGTGAACATGCAATATCAGTTAACACCTTAAAATGACATCCACTGATTGATTGCTTGGTTTTCTTCTTCTTCATGTTGTCATTATCACCATTATTGCTAAACATTGTGCAATAAGCAGCAGGTGTTAACCTCATAGTCATGAAGGACTACTGTTCGCTCATGATTAGTGAAAGTCGAACCACGACTTGGAGTGCATATATATATATATCACAGGTTTGTAGATAAGCATGGTGCCAACGCTACAACAATAATAACAATAACGATAATAGAAGATAGGTGGATTGGGGTACTGAACAGAGTGAACAGAGGGTGAAATAGTTAAACACGGGAAAATGGAAGATAACTGGAATAATAATGTTTTTGTTTCACCGTACAATTTTTGATATATTTTTTGTGTTTTTCTTGTTTTTTGGAGTAGCATAAGCCATGAATAAGACAGCGAAGCTGCTAGTGCCGTAGAACTGGAAAAAGGTTACATCATTTTACAGATTTCATCGATGAGAACTACAATCCCTCACACTCACGCGAATCGGGTAAGATGGTTTGATATGTGACAATCCTAAACTTAACGTGTAAAAAGTGGTCGAACACTATTTTTCAATGCGTTAAAACGAAGTCACCACAACCGGAAACGGCCCAATACAATGAATCAGTTGGAAAAGATAACTATTGGTGAAGAAGCAATCGGTTGTTTATATATATATATATATTTATATATGTAATCGAATTCTGAATCGTACATCGACGGAAGTTCCTCATTTTATATGTTTACTTATACTGTCCGGCTTTGGGGTTTCCCTGTGAGGTGAACGGACAGGGTGGGGTGCACTTCTTGGCTCTGAAGCCAAACTATTGGTGATACCAGCAATGCTGAGGGTTGGAGCTGGGCGGGTGGTTTCTGCGGGTTTACGAAATCGAGCGGCTTCGACTTCGGCTGCGGCTGGATGGCCGTGAGCGGGAGAGGTAAAGAACCAATTGCTGCATCTGCAGTTCGAGGTTTCCCATTCGCGAAGTGATATCATCACAGCGAGAAGCGATCGCGGTTGGGTTGGAGCAAGCGGTGATGTGTTGCGAAGCTGGGTTTGCTTCGAACATTTTATCCGCGGCCATTGCCATTTCATCCAAAGAACTGTTGGAAAGGACGGATAAAGACTTCCCGGATGTGCAGAGGGAGACGCTTCAACAGAAGCTGGCGGGGGATGGCGTTATCAAGTATGTGGATACCGAGGAGTTGCCGCACGTGTCGCAACAACTGGGAAGGGGTGCGGTCGCCGTTTTCGAGGTCCCGAAACAACTCATCCAATCGGCGTTCATCCGACATAGCTGTGCGGGCGATCAACGCTTCCTTCAATTGGGTGTATGGGTCATTCTAAGGCATGGTGATGATAAATTCAAACACCCGTTTCGCAATGTCTGTAGGCAAGAAGGTGGCTATGTGGGAGCGGATGCAGTGGGCACGGAAATAGGCTTCTGCCCGGACGAACCGTAACGGGGGGTTGCTAATACCAAATGCGGGCAATTTAATGTGAAAAGACATGGGAAGGTCATCCATGTCGAATTTTAATTACTCTATGTTTAACACGTACAGTAAAAAAGAAAATATAAAGTAAAATTCCTGAAGAACCCGGGATATTGTAGAAAAATACGAAACTAGAGATAATCTAAACACGGGCTCACCAAATATGTAGTGGAGGAGACAATACAAATACGAATAATAATGAAATAAACGGTACATGGAACAAACCCACAAAAGGATTGTTCGGCTGGTTGATTGGTCCTGTTCTTCAAATGTGTAGCTCCGGTTGATAGTGCGCAGTATTGCTGAAATGGATGGGAGTAATGCTTCGGCAACAGTGGTTCGGTGGTGAGCTAGAAAAATAGCTAATTAGTCCTAGTTTTCATCAAGCTTTATTGTGTTTATCTTAATTGTAATGTTTTATTTTTCGTAATCCACATAAAGAGAGTTCGGCCGTGGGTTAATAATTGCGTTTCATTAGAAGAATGGTGCAGCCTATTAGACCCCTTGACACTACCCTCTGTTCGAGAAATGCCGTTTTGCTTCGATATTTGTGCCGCGTGGGTTTGCAGGTCTATTGCTCGGTTCGCCGCGAAAACGTCTTAAAAACATACTCAGCTGTTTCATCTTGATTGCAGATCATTCCTGGTTCATGCCAAACTGACCTGTTGTGAGCAAGGTGAGGTTCTAATCCGATACACTTACAATTTAGCGTGTTTCGTAGTGTCGTGAGATACTACTCATTTGTGAATAGTAGACAACATGCATGGTGATTACTTTCGGAGTGTATATGCTGCCGAACTAATCAAGGTTCAATAATATTTATAAAAAGTTCGATAATTTGCTAGTTAGTGACATACCATCAGGTTTATCAGGCCAAAAAAATGAATTTTCTTGGATAATTCACTGGTCAAAGTCTGAATNAATTGCAAGACAGCGAGGTGGTGAGGGAAAACTACAATCCATTAGGGACCGGTTTCCAGTTAACCAGATCGTACGCCCTTGGAATGGGATCAAATCTCCAAGGTGCCCCAAATCCCCGATGACCAATCGAGCCGGTAGCCGCTGCCTCCATCAGGAAAGTGTGGATATGGTTCGTACGTTGCTTAGGGATCAGAGACTATTTGTATCACATTTTCACATCGAAGCATTCTGTGGGTTCAAGTGAAGAGTGACCATCCGAAACCTGAGATACCCATCGCCGATCGCACTGAGGCTTTTGGAGTGTGAGCACACTGTACAAACCAAACTAGTCTCTCCCACTCTGATGAGATGTAAACTGCATGTTTTTTTAACGATGTGAACAAAAGTGTACACAGTTAGACCTTGCTGACTATCAAGAGACTATACAGAAACGAGCTCGTTTAGAGGGAGGGATTTCACGTTATATTAGTTCAGGACCATCGAGGGTTACAATCAGTGTTCAATGTTCTTCAATTAGAGGTAGAGGGTAATTTCCCGTATGAGCCTCATCACCACAGACTCGAAGATCACATTCCTGATAGATCTCCATACCCTATTGTTCGCAGGACGCTGTCGAGCTTCCTCTTGAACATCTTATCATTGACCTCGTCCACCACGTCAGCTGGAAGGGAGTTCCAAAGATTGGTTACTCTTCGCGATAGCCGGAACCGAAGAGGTAATCCTACGGACGAAAGCTTCAACAGCGTAAGTCCATGTCCACGAGTCCTGGTCTGCTCGCGCAGAGGGAAATACTCCATCAACTCTGGACCCATGTCACCGCGAAGAATGCGTCGCACACAGATGATATCACCCCGTACTCGGCGA